AAAAAAAAAAACCAAACCTTTGGAAGCTGTTAATTAACTTGATTAAAAAAAAAAATTAAAGGCCTTGGTTAAAGCATATCATGTCAGATAGAATTCTCAAATAATATCTGTCCTCATTTCATTCCACAGTGTTCTGAAATAGAGAGCTGGTGTTCACAAATAAAAGGTTTCTCTCTCAAATGACAGCAAGGGCTGAAAAACACAGCATTTTAGAAGTGTGTGCCAAATATGCCTATCGCTTGGTTGTTGCACTCCCTCCAAGCAGAAGCAAAACTGCTCACAGCACACCTACTAGGTAATAACACCTTTATAGTTCGTTGAAACAATCTGCACTTTGCTGAAAGAATTGAGCCCCTAGTTTGTCTCCCTCCATGTCTTCATGCTGGACCAACAGACAATACTCACATCAGAATCCGACACGGGCGGAGAATCTTCCATATTTACAACCGGCACATGTACCCGTTTTACAGCTGTTTTCTTGATTTCGTGAGATTTGCTTCTTGACTCTATCATCTGAAAGAAACAAAAATGAGTTTGGTAAAAAGCCCACATATTTATTTTACAATTTCATTCTGTACTTTGTTATTATTTAGCTTGCAGTAGAGAAGAAGCATACTGAAATTGAACATTATTCATTTTTATTATTCATTGGGAAGAAAATAGAGCATTAACTATAGGGGTGGTAAGGGCTGGCGAATTCCCTCGTAATTCATGCACAGGGGATAATACTGTAACTTACTGCTTTAGCTGGTTTCTCTTTCCATACAGACAGTTCTTTAGATAAAAGTTCCTCTGGTTTCATTCTCACGAGCTTTGACAGTGAGATTTCCTCACGAAGGACACGATGAAAAAGTCCCTGAAAACAGAACAGACTTTACTGCCATGCTGAAGAGAACCTGCCTGGGGAACTGACAAGATCTGCAGTGATGAACAGGCAAAATCTGTTCTAGTTTCATAATTGCCATTAAAAATATCAGCTAACATACAGAAATTTGGAAAGGTGGAGCAACGAGAAAATAAGTATGAAACAAACATGAAGTATGAATTTCCCTTGTTGTCATCAATGACTACCAGTATAACTGAACAGGGATGTCGAAGCTGAACAGCCACTGTCCTGTTTCCTATCTATTGCACAAATTCAAAACCCACAAACTTTCAAGTGTTCTCTACTGAGTATTTACTCTGCACCAGCATCGGTTCTTTTTTTAAAGCATAAATATGACCATGCACACAGGCAGTATCCAACACATACTAAAGAATGTCACAAGAAAATTAGTGAAGTCTGTATTTATTTTAAGAAAGCCATTCTGTAAATAAGTAATTCATACCAAATGGCCAAACTAATAAATACACGTGACCAACTAAGGTAGAATTTGAACTCCTACTTGGATATTTTATTTTATTTTTAAGATTTGAATGGCTTTATAATAATCCTTTATAGTATAACTCACAGGTCTCTATCTTGAAACTCTTAATGTTGAGGGTAGCATTTAACATAACATTAAAAGGCAAAGTATGTTTCAGTAGATGTTTACTGTTTAAAGAAATTCCAAACCTGGTTTTTGGGGTCCTTGAGATTGAACATGATGCTACGGTATTTACTCTTGTATCTGTTGTCTGTAACTTGGAACAAATTAAACATCTCCTTTTCAATGTTGAGTGCTACTCTCCCTACTTCACTCTCTGTCATGACCAGATCATCACTATCATTGACTCTGTTAAAAAGAACAAAAAAAAAGGGTATGTGCATTTATGTCAGGCATGAACCTTCAGGCAGCATTCATAAAACCAAATTTTCCAGAGCTAACAAGGGCTCCTCCTCACACGCTGAGGGCTCAAGACTCCTTTAAAGGACACCTCCAACCCAAAGCCTATCTCAGGACCTTGAACTGCAAACTCCGCCAACCCTTCGTAGCCGTGGCAGACACCCTTCAGGCAACCGAGTCAGCCTGTCCTGCTCCCGCTCCCGGCACCGGAGTTACAAGTTTCTCTGCCGCGAACAACACCGGGAGCCCAAGCGCCTGAGTTTCAGTCCTACCTTCTCCACTCTGACCAGCATCTCCATTTCAGGAAGACCAGAGTGCAGTGGTCTATAATTAGCAGTGATGGCTGGTGTTAGCTTTAATAATTGGTGTAGGAAAATTTGCTATTTATTATTTTCTTTTCTTTCCTAAGTGATAGAGCACTTGTCCACTGATCAGGGCTGGTTGTTGTTGTCAATTTTTACGTCAGAAGGGCAGGGAATCTCCACTTCAGTAAGCCTTTAACCTTCCGCTGCATTTCCTATTCTATGTCCCCTACAACATCTACGTCTCCAAACACTGCCATCATTCAGATTTTAAAACTTCAGAGCACCTGTGTTATAAAATATCCTATGCTGTAATGCTGTAATTTAAGTCTTCAACTGTATCTGCCTCAATACAAATCGACAGTGAGGTTTCTTTTTTCCAAAAAAAAAAAAAGCTGTTTCGCATGCCCATTTATTTTGTATCATGATTTAATTTTTTTTTAATATGTAAACCTGAAATGTCAATCACATTTGTAGCAATTTGTTGTATAAATTCAATCCCTCATTGTCTCTTATCAAGACATAAACCTGAACTCGGGAGACTAAACATTTACTTTTAGTTGTAGCTTCCTATATAAAATAAGTGCTTTGAATTCCCACCTCTTCCATAAAATTTCTTTTAGGGATCGTCGAATATTTTGTCGAATCTGAGAGTTGGGTTGGGACTGGATAGGGCTAGCTGATGCTTTCGCTTGACTACTTCCAGATGCAGTAGAAACGGAGGACAGTGAAGGCTTTTTGAGTCCTCCACCCAAAGTGGAAGATGGAGCTGGTTTTTTGGACACTGATGAGCCCTGAGAGAGAGATGGATGTTTTGAAGGAACGCTGCCTGAGGAAGGCCAAGGTTTCTTGGGAATTACACCTTTGAAACTTCCAGCAGGTTTAAGCGGTTGCTTATTTAGTGACGTGTTAGAGAAGGATGGAGACTTCTTTGAAGGAAGATTTTTAGTGGCAGAAGACACCTGCTTCTCCATTAGGGATGCAATAGCTTTCTTTGATGCTGATGCAGGCTCTGCTCTATCTTCATTCCTTTTCTCTTCCTTCTGAGCTGTTAAAACAAAGAAGAAAACATAATATTAGAGGTATAACTTTGTAGCTTCCAATTTGTGAATGCCAATCTACAAAGTCTGCGAAATGTCATTTCCAGAGACTAGCTATCAAGTAGGCAATTTAAGCTATTTACTTTCACTATCCTTTTAAAAAGTACTTTTAAAAAACCATGCAGAGGTTGATAGGTTTCTTGAAGAAATTTGTCTTTGTTCCTTCAGAGACTGCTCCATGTCAGAAGCCAACTGCAAAGTTTTTTTAAAAGTTCCACTTTGGCTCTACATGTCAAAAATTTTATTTACAATCTACTCAAGAAAACCGGGAGTGGGGAAAGGCACCACCTTCAAAGATTCCCAAGTGAGATTTCATGGTTAAGCTTCAAAAACATCCAAACTTGCACACATGAAAAAAAAAAAAGCACAATACAATGCACATTTTATATTTCAGCAGAAAAATTCTTATAGCACCTTACAGAAGCATTTATTACAGAAGCTGACCCGACGACAGAGTCCATGAAGTTGAAACTGCATTAATATTATTTTTAGTATCAATGTTTAAGAAACCCTTTCACACACATTTTTTTTATTTTAAAGAGCAAGCAAAGATAGACAAATTATGTAGCACAGAAGTTGCTTACAAAAATTTAGATACGTAATTTACTTGGTTGCCAGCATGAATATCATACTGATGACGCTGATGAACTCGTATTTCAGTTTCTAGCTAAATTCTATGTTTATACAATAATTAAACATTAATAATTCTGCTCAGGCTGTGGCCATCTAATTCCCACTATTCTCAAACTATTCCATTCACAATATTCAGATTTTTCAATTTAATCCTTTTTCTAATGTTAATAGAATAACTGAAATACATCATACACAAGATTTATAAGGTGTAAGTAAAGGCTCCAGTTCTCACATGTGTTGAAGTTGTACTTGCACAGGACTTTAAAAGCAAGCAACTCTTCAAATTGTTTCATCTCTCCACCTTCTGGCACTGCCAGGAACAATTCAATACAGAGAAAAAAGCCAAACACCAAAATACGCACACCCAGCAAACAAAAGATCGTGTATAAGACCCCACAGCTAGAGGGGGCTGATACCAGCACATTCAGCTCAACCAACGAAGGGTGCTGAGGGAAACTACCAAAACCCAACTCCTCCAATACAAATGTTCCCATTAGAAACGCCAAGTTTTCTCAAAAAAAAAAAAAAAAAAGCCCTTTTTGTCACAAATTTCTCAATAGCCACTGACCGCTTAACAAGGCTATTTTTAATCTTTTGTTTTTAGCTGGTGAAGGTTTGTAGATCAATTAGCCGAGCAGCCCACGTTGCAAAATGCAGGACACTTCCTGGGAAAGATCCAGGAATTTAAACTTCTGATAACTTTACCAAGGACCAAATGGTCCCTCTTGTGCTTCCACATCTGTGCAATGACAACAGAAATTACTAGGAAGTGTCCAAATTGTTCAATCAATGGACTTGAAGGGGACAAAGCACTCGCACGAAGTCTGCTTCAAGAAACCCCACGAATCGCACAAGCTTTGAACAGAAGCATCCCTCAAACTGGGCAAGATTTGGAATGCTTAAAAGACATCATGTGATGCTCCCTCATTCACCGAGGCAATAGCCTTGCGAACTTTCTCCACGCTTGCAAGTTCAGGTACCCCCTGAATACTGGCCCCTGCCTCCAGCAGAAATCCACTTCTAATCCTGGTTTCTTTAGAGAAGCTCTTACTGCTGGCAGCTTCACCACAAATACAGAAACGAGTGATTAAGATGAACTACGAAATGACACTGTACTTGAACTTTTATGGAGCTGAGTATAAGGGTGTGTGCTGGACTTCCGCTGAAACACAAGAAGCCAGACCCTGAAACACCATGTATTTAACCTGACTTGTTTTTCCTAGAAGTATTTTACAAGTAGATCGCTTGAAGAATTTTTCTAAGTGAGATTGAACTACTTGAAGTGTAAAACTAAAAAAGCTGCCCCTATACATTAAATTGTTTCATAGGACATGAAGAATTTGCTCTGAGGTAGATTACCACTCACACTATCCCCATAGTTTTCCCTGGAGACTGGTCTCAGTGACTGTCCGAGACCGAGCATGACCCACAACCTCTCTCCTCATATCCCCACCCTCTCCCTCCCCGCTAACACTTTCCTTGTCCTCAGGACAGCCTGGACAATCCCAGGAGGGAGGAAGAGGACTGGGAATTATTGCTGATGTTTTTTTTAATTTAGTCGAATTTAGCACCCAGAACTTAACAGATTTGAAAAGCCAACATGTTCTGAGTTTCGAACAGTCTTGAAATGGGAGAAGGCAAATGTCCAAAACATCTGCAGATAATGCTGCAGGAATTCCTCTACTTCCATTCTCTTTTTCCTGGTGTATTTTATTTTCTGCACAGAGGCACATTTCTGGGACACATCACGGAAAGGCAGGACAGCACAGCTCTGGTTTCAGAAGGACTACACTAAAATTCAGTCCTCAGTAACAAGCCATATAGTTCTTTTGGATTACAGCAGAGGTAAAAAATGTGAAATTCTACTTAACTCTCTACAAGCTATCTTTTTAATGATTAGTTCAAACTAGTTAACAAGAACTACAATGACAAAACTAAAACCAGCACCATCTAGATGCTTTGTGTCAATTGGCTGTTATATACATGAGAACTAGATCCACATCACGAACTGTTACAAACAGCTACATCGTAATAAAAATACGTACTTCTAAAGTAAATAAATAAATGGTACTTGCACAAAGGTAGATTGAGGTTCCCAGGGTTGAAGGGCAGCAGAATCATTAAGTGTCCAAGAAGAAAGCTGCAGAAGCATTCTGCAAGTGGATGTCGTGATTATTTATAAAGGTTTCTAACGTAAGGCTTCATCCTCTGCTGCTTTAGCCAACAGAAATTGTGCAAATATTTCATCAAAGTTTAAATTTCAAATACCAATTAAAGCTGCCTACCTACCAGTACTTGTCAACTAGAGAAACTGATGGTACAGACTTTGTACGTACTAGTTCAGTCACATGTAGGTCAGTCAGTGCCTCAGAACATCTACCAGCTGCTCTTTCAAATTTACAGGACGCATTGCTTTTTGGAGGAGGTCACTGTCAAATCACGCCCACGTTTTGATGAAGAAATAAGGGTACTTAAATCAAATGCAAATAGCCTGTCGTGGTTGTAGATGAATCTAATCTAAAAAATCCCTAATCCTTTTTCATAGAATCATTGAATGGTTTGAGTTAGAAGGGACCTTAAAGTTATCAAGTTCCAACCCCCTTCCTGCCATGGGCAGGGACACCTCCCACTAGGCCAGGTTGCTCAAAGCCTCACCAACCTGGTCTTGGACGCTTCCAGAGACGAGGCATTTTTGACTGCGAGAAACCAGGATTTTTGTCCGATCAAGTTCTGGGGTTTGGTGACAAGATTAATGCACTGTCCCAGAACTCAGCCGAACCAACTCACTGTGTCATCTCACGGCTCTTGGATCCAACGCCTGGGAGCACCCAGCTGGGTGTGAGGAAGGAGCAGGACCATCTCTTCTGGTGGCAGCCCGCTCTTCTGTTGACTTAACAATGAGTACATTCCAAAGCTTCCAGAATCTTCTCATATGCATGAAACTATGGCAAGTGTATGTTTGGAAGAGTTAACAGAAATAGGTACTCCTTTCAGAAAGCAGTATGCCAACACGTGGAATTTAACTTCTGAGCAGCTGCCGCAGTGGCTCAGCAAACTGATGGTCCCCGTAACAGACCAGGTATCCTTTCTGACCACGTTTCAACTTGCTTGGCCTCGCAGCCCACAAACAGCTTCAAGAGAAGACGCAGTTAATGCCTACTACACATACTGGACACTGTGTTTTATACCGTGATCTTTCTGGTCTTTTTCATCAGTAGCTCCAGTGTACTTACACTAAGTGCTCTTAAACTTAAAGGATAGCGATGACTAGTGAACATTAACCTATCCAGCCTAACAGAATAATCGGGAGTTTCACCACAGACAGAAGCTAGTGCCAGAATAAGGCATTTAGTAGCTCTTCCATTCAGTAGTTTCAAGCACACAGGGGTACCTCCCTGTGTTAGAAACAGTATTTAAAACAAAACATTAACTCTTTATTTTCCCCATTTTGTCCTGTGAACCACTTATTAGGAGAGCAACAGATTCTGATTGACTGAGGAGGCACAGACCACAATGACTGAGAGGTACAGATGGAGCTAAGGCTTGTTTGCAGAGTGAAACCTGATGAATCCCCTGGCAGAAAACAGTGCATTCCTCGCAAGGCTTAAGATACAGCATTACCCTGGTATGTTCACTACAAACCTAACTACAATCTCTCCCACTAGATGTCAACAGACACAGCCTCCCGTAAGGAAATTCCCCTGAAGCCAAGCCAAGTACTACAAACACACAGCAAAGAACTCAGCTTCTGGAAGTGGTGGAGGACGTAACTGCTACCGTGTCAGCCGAGCCCGCTGGCCGCCCACTGGTTCCGTAACCTTCCCTTTTGGACATCTCAGCACTGATGTTCCAGCATGGCAACGGGGTTGCTCGGGCACAACAGAACGATTTCTGCGGTGCAGCACTGTTTAAATTTATCTGGAGGATTCGCAGGATGCACTTGTATCATAATGCTCCACCTACACTGGGAGGCTGGTTTAGACCACCAGCACAGAAATTCCACTAAGGAAACTTTGCTCCTCCTCTGCTATCTGAAATCTATTTCTGTACGGCACTCAAGCCCATTCTGGTTCTTTCCCCTTCCCCTCTCTGCTCAACCTTCCTTTGGAATGGTAGGTTCAGAAAGCCACTTCAAAAATACACCACCACCACTCAGCTTCTACTTAAAGCATCTCCTTTGTGACAGGTTATTTTGCTGGAGACATTATCTAGTTTTTCCAACTTCTAAATACATGAAGAACCGTGCTATTATTTTGTTCACATTTTAAAAATTACTCCAGTCACGTTTCTTATCTTGGTTGATGCTAGAAGGTTT